CAGGGACAATGCTTGCTTTGCTAGAGACAGAGCTCAACTTTGTCGGTTCTTCTCTCCCATCCCTAACCCTGAACCTCATAAAACCCCTTTACAATTTCATTTGCAAAAAGAAGTTTCTTAAAATAAAAATAAGTTAAAGCAGTTCATATATTTTACTTAATTTTTTCTTTGTTTTAAACTTTAATCTTTGAACTTGGTAAATCATAACCTTTGAGTAGTATACCTTCAATAAATATCAATGTATATCCTCACAATGTATATGGTTAAGTTCTGAAAATATATATGTATATATATGGTCCTTTCTCTTTTTGTCTTTACTTAATAAATCTAACTCTGCTTCATACTGACTCATATTGAAATTCTTCCCTTGAGTGGAGGTCCCTAATGGAGGCAACTCCTCAGGTTACATCTGGGAGTACCTGGCTATATTGTCCTTATTGCCCCTAATACTTCCCCCACCTCATTCTGATCCAAATCAAAACTCACTTCTTCAGAGTGCTTATTTTCAGATTTCACTTTCCATAGTAAATACCTGGAAGATTTAAAGGTGACCCAGGGCTCACTCTTCCAGATTCTGTTGCCCAGGGTAGCATTGCTGGTAATTCTAACAGGCATTAGGGCAGAGTACCACCAAGGATGCTATTTCTGACTAGATGGTAGAAGCCATTGTTGCATTTATTCATCCCAAGGGTGTGGACAATTGATGGGGGCTTATAAAAGATATTTGCAGAATTTAGGGCAGTAGTTTAATAAGATATGAAATAGGTTAAGCAGCAAGTTTTGGACTGGGGACAGGCCAGTCCTGTTCTCAAATTTGTAATAAACATGCCTGAACTGTTTCTCCTTTTGGTAGTTTCTTTCCTTTTCTGTCTGGATTCACAGGCTTTAGAAATCCCATCTCCCTAGATCTACTCTCTCTAGATCTACTCTCTGGGCTCAGTCCCTCACCTCTCATGACTCCCATGGGACTCAGCTGATAATGGGTGTAAATAACAGCAGGGTTTCTGGTGAGGGTAAGGCTGAGCATGTCTTTCTCACTGGACTCTTCATAAGTCAAGTCTGAAGACTTCACTCTCTTCTCCTTCAAGGGGAAAGTGGGGGGACATGGAGCTAGAATTTATGGGCATTACAGTTGGGGTCCCCATTTCCCTCTCTGCCTTTTCTTCAATCACAAATGTAATCTCGACAGTGAATTGGGAATTTGTTCCTGAAGTGTCCTCAGGGATGAATGTTGGGCCAAATGACAGGCTGTGGTGCTGCCAGGGACTTCCACCCTTTCTCTGGTAGCTTTTTCCATTTGGCAGACAAATTCTGGTTCTATTCTTAGCACTAATACAGAAATCAGATGACTTAAACTCGAAACCAATGCAGATCCTGTTGCATTTAGAAGTTTCCAGAACTTGTTGAAGATGGTGCCATTGGACTTGGCACAACCAACCCAGTATATCAGAGAGCCATTCCCAGATCCAAAGCCTGCCCATGGGAGGACAGACATCTCTCTGGGGAGAAATTCAACCTGGAGAGGAGAACACTGTCCTCTATTTTTAGACTCGGGTGCCACACTTTAAAGAGTGCTTCGCCAGCAGTTTCTTCTGTAATTGGTTTTCCATCTTATGAAAGGGAACCTGAGGGCCAGAGAGGCCAACCCATTTATTCTCAGAGATGCCAAGCCTTGGAATCACTTGTAAACTTACCCATCTCTAGAAGAAACACATTCAGAAGCTGGTTTCAGCATTTCAGAGATATCCATGCACATGAAAACTGCAGAAAATCTATTTCCTCGATGCTCTCCTGCCATTCCCTAAGAACAGGGTATCTGCTTATGTTGTGTGTCCTAACAGTTTAGTGGCTATTTGAAAAACTAGTATAAACTTAAAGAAAAGACAGTATTTTCATTTCACTTAAGGAACGATGAGATAGAATACGTACATTGGTCAGGCTTGCAAACTGTGACTGAGGGACTTAAGAGCCTCCCAGTCATCTTCACTCTCAAACCTCTTACCCAGTGAGGGAAGTGTTCCTAAGCCTGTGGTTCCCAGACAGTATGCTACTCAGCCAACCCACAGGAGCCCTTCAGGATATCTTCAAATTCCAAGGTCAACACATTAGGAACTCTTAGTTCCCAGCTTGACATTCCTTACCCACCAGCTGTACGTCATTCCATTCGGTGATACTGTATCTTTGTGAAGCTGAGCTTTGACTGTTGCTTTGATAAAAAGCAGAGTGACAATCCCTGTGAAACAGGACCTGAGGTAGCATTATCCAACCTGAGTCTAAGGTTTGATACGCTGTGCAAAGGCCAGCAGTCCAGACATACCACTAGCAAGTAACTGGTTGCTTAAATGAAATGAAAACATTGCTTTTTCTTCCAATTTAAGTTAGCTTTTCAAATGGCCACTAAGTTGTTAGGACATTGTTAGGACATGTAGACTTAAGCTTAAGTCCTACTATTTAATAAGTAAAACTGGGAAATATCTATTTGACCATGAGATGGTAGTCATTCTGAAATCAGCACTGTTTGGAACCTCTATCCTATGCCTATGAGCTGCCTCCCCACAGTGTCACTAGGAGCCACTAGGAGCCATCTTGGGGATGAGGCTGTGATTCCAGCAGGGACAAGACCCAGGTCTCACAGCAGTCCCTAGCCCCTGTTGCCTGGAATTGACCGGCAGGAAAGCATGGGCCAGACTCATTCTTTTGTAGCTTTGGGAAGAAAAGGTCTCAGAATTATATCATGGAACGCAGGGGCTAAAGTGAAGTTTAAGAAGAGGATCTTTGCTGTTAAGGAGCTGGAGATGGAGAAACTTCTTTTTAATCAGGCAGGCTATCTGTCTCAGGAAGGATGTTCTTTTAGAGACACCATGGGGACTCATCTGTAAGAGATCTCTTGGATATCTGAGCATCACAGCACAATTATACAGGGATCCCAGGGCTACACTGGTAAGTGGAAGGCAAGACCTCTCTGGAGAGGAATAAAAATAATCCTTAGCACCAGCAAGGGCGTTATTAGTCTCTCTTCATGGTAAAGTGGGAGCCATTCAGTGCAAGTCTTTGAGGAACTAAGTGGGATCTGATTCATGAGGGGACCACAATGGGAGAGAAATGTAAGTGAGGAGTAGAGATGGTAATCATGAGACACCCTGACCATCAGGTCACTCAGGGACCAAGGTCAAGAAGCTCTGGGGTAAGAGTCAATAACAGCAAGTTGGAAGAGATGGTGGTGACCTCAAGGAAAGAAATTCATTTCCATGGAAAAAAAAATGAAAAGATGACACTCTTCCAGCAGAGAACCTGGGAGAAGCAGGAAGAATGTCAACTCTCCCTTTCTGTGGTTGCTCTTCCCACATGGTTGGCAGTGATCTCATGAGCCTTCCATCTCAGGTTGGGGGGTGGCTAAGGTGGGAACCCTGTAACCTTGGATCACAAGCTAGGACTGTTATTTGTTGCATTCCCATAGCGCCCTGTTCTTAGAGAGTGAGCTACTAACCTACTTCAATAACAAAAGAGCCACAAAGCTCACAGGGGACAAAACAAAATTTTAAAGGAGAGAAAAAAAAGGAGAATGGGGAGAGCTAAGTTTGAGACCTATCACTGTCTGTCCACTGCTCCCCTGAGGATCTGTGTTCCCCAGGGAAGGATGGTTCTCTGCTTATTTGCATGGCTGGTCACCTGCCAAGGATGGCCTGGATGGCACAGTCACTTTACTTATGGAGGAAACCCCACCTGCACAAGTGGGCCATTCCCAGGGCCACATTATGAAGAGAAGAGATGCTGACTTGTGAATAGAACAGCAGGCCAATGGAAAAAGGCCATGTTTATTTCACCTTTGTTGACTGATTTCTGAGGAAACAAAATTATAGGTGGTCAAGGGAGAAAACAGAGTCAAGGGAGAACAGAGCAGAAGCTTACAACACAGGCCTGTAATTCTAGCTACTCAAGAGATTCAGGCAAAAGAGACAAATTCTAGGCCAGTCTGGGCTACAGAGCGAGTTCAAGGTCCGCCTTGGTAACTTAGTGAGACCCCATCTCAAAATAGTACATTTTTATGAGTGCTGGAGATGTAGCTCAGTGGTCTAATGGCCACTTAGCATAAACTAAGCCCTAGGTGCAATTTCCAGGACTGGAGAAAAAGGAAGAAGGAGAGGGGGGGGAGGGGGAGGACCACAGAGCACTTCCTTTTTTCTATAAATTTCACCCTTATGGAAGTGTAATGATGTCTGTGTGGTGACATGTCTGTAATTCCCACAATGGAGAGGCTGAGTCAGGAGAATCAGGGATCTAAGAAAGAAAGGAGAGAGGGAGGGAAGGAAGGAAGGAGGAAGGGAAGGAGAAAGAAAGAAAGAGGAAGAGGGGGAGGGGGAGGGGGAGGAGGAGGAGGAGGAGGAGGGTGGGGCATGGTAAACACCCTTGCTAGTCCTTGGTCTAGAGGGGAAGCCTGTCTCCTATCACATCTTCAAGGCCTGGGGATCATCCTTATTTTGGTAAGGCCTCTTAGGGCTCTGAAAGAACTAGACATTCTCATTAGCTAAAGACTAGGCCTTTCAATATGACCCCTCATATTTTTGAATCAACCAGATATGTTTTTGAACTTGTTCTAGACTATAGAGTTTTCATGGAAAGGTGTAGACAACCTACTATGGACATTAATACTATGTAAAATCTGCATCTTATGCATAGCCCTGCATGTCTTCAGAGGTGTCTAGATGGAGGGATGCTTGTCACAGCCGGTGATATAGACTGATGTATATGCTGCCATCTGCAACAGCAGTCAAGGCCTGATTTGTTCCACTGCTAACTGTCATAAAACTATCTTTATAACGATAGACATGCAAAAATTATGGCTCCCTGTGAGGCTCCAACAACCCACTGCTGTGCTGGGAAAGACAGTTCATTTGCTAGGCAGGTTTGCTTTGGCTTATTACAGGAGGCATAATGGATTTTGTTATACAAAATAAGGAATAGACATTCTTCGTGGTCTTCATTTTCAATGCCCTACTTACCAACTTCATCCCTGATGTTTGCAAGTTCGATTGACAGCTCTTTTTCTTTCACAAGGGCACTTTCGTTCTGAAAAAACAAAATGGATACCGAGAGTCCCCTAGTTTTATGCTATATAAGTACTTTTACATGTTTAATAAATGAGTCATATTAAACAAGTAAGTCCAGCTCTTAAGCTGATGACTGTTCTCAAGAAAGCCACAACATTCATCACCTGTTAAAAGTTCACAGCATAGTACACAGTAACACCCAGTCATGCTTCTCTCTGTATTACACTCTTAAATCATCCTGAATGCATTCTTTGAACATCTGTGTCCTACACATTAATATGCTAGCACATATTGTCATATACTGAAAATTCTCATTAGGTTTTTAATGATAGTAAGTGATCTCTGACTATGAAAAAGCCCATGTTATATATACTTTTAGAAGAGCATAGCCTTGTTTTATCAATTATTCCCTTAAACTTACCCTTTTGTCCATAGCTGGTTAGTTATCTAATGAATAACAAAAATCAAAGCAGAAGTCTTGACAGGAAATATTTCTCTTTGCTGTAAGATCAACAACAGTAAGGTTTCCAAGTGTTTTGACGTACTATGGCCATTACTAGAAGGGACAGGAGGAATTGCACACTTGAAGTATTATTTAGGGTAAAGAATGCCATTTCAAACTCCATGACCATTTGTTTCCAAGACAAATACATTCTATGATGTAACACAGAGAAGTACTTGAAGATACAGCAAATTGGAAATCTGCATTTTTGAGCGACTATAGATGATTTCTTATGATTTGACTGCCAAATACTGCTACTAATAATTAGGAAATATTATTAACAATAAATTGGAGATACCAGCTCTTCAGAGAGAGTCCCTGTCATTCATTATAATATACTTAAAGCAAACTTATTTTCAGAGAGAATGCTGGTTAAAATGTAGATCAAATATAGAACATGGATACCATCCATGACGTGATGGTTTTCTAGAGTTTGCATGTTCAATATCTTCTGACCATGTTAAAGCTTTGGTCTCCCAGGGGCTCTACTGGGAGGCATTGTGAATCTAAGAGGCAGGGTTTAATGGCGGTCATTAAGTCATTGGGAATGTGACCTTTAAGAAGACTGTGGTATCCTGGCCTCTTCCCCTTTTTGTTTCCTGGCCATGAAGCAGAAGTTTGGTCTTCCGCAAGTGCCCCACTATTGTTATCCCAGCATGCCCTCCGGAGACCCAAAGCAATGGTCCACCTGCTCTTAGACTAGAACCTCTGAAACTAGGAGTCTGAGCAACCATTTTCTGTTTATAAGTTAATTATATCGGGTATCTCATCATATATACTCTTGGAAACTATTGCAATGCTCTTTAATTACTGACCACCTTTGCCTCTGGTTTTGGTGCCTCTCATGAACCTGTGCCCAATGGACTAGAGGCATTTCTCACAACCTTGTTTGTGAGTCTGCTGCATTTAGACTTAGGTAACTAGGATTTACTTTGGGTTCCTGGGAGAGCCTCACGTTATGTAAAAGGTCTTTGTTAAGCAATGCCATGATATTAATAAAGCCCAAATAAAGCTGTGTAGCTCAGTGATCCAAAGGCCATTAGGTCACAAGTGTTTGTTAATGGTTCTCTTAAGAAAGTATATCAATTGGAGCTGGAGAGATGGTTTAGTGGCTAAGAGCACTGGCTGCTCTCGCAGAGGACTTGAGTTCAGTTGCCAGCAACCACATGGTTGCTAACAATCACCTATAACTCCAGTTTCAGGGAATCCAGTACCCTCTCCTGGCTGTCACGGGCATTATGTGTATGTAGTACACATACATACACTCAGGTAAAATACTCATATATATAAAATAAAAATAAATAAATTAAAAAAGAAAGTGTCAGTGCTCTTAACCACTGAGCCATCTCAAACCGTCCTTAACTCCAGTTCCAGGGGAATCCGAAGCCCTCTTCTGACCTCCGTGGCATTGTACAACATGGGTGCACTCACATACATGCAGGCAATACACTCATACACACAAAATAAAAATAATAAATAATAAAAAAGAAAGTGTATCAATAGAGCTGTTTTTTAAGGGGCAATGGGCCCTGCAGGGTCTGAATATCTCTGTCTCACCCAAATCCATATGTTGAAGCTTTAACTTCCAAGATGATACTGTTAGCATGTGGGGCCTGTGGGAGATGATTAGGTTATGGGGTGACACTTTTATGAATGGGATTAGTGTTCCTATAAAAGAAGTATCAGGCTTTATCTTTTCAGAAGTGAGCATACAGTGAGAAGGGCCAGACACTAAATCTGCTGGAGCCTTGATGTTGGATTTCCTAGCCTCAGAACGGTGAGATATAAATTTCTGTTGTTTATAAGCCACAAAATTTTATTTTGCTGTATGAGCCCAAATCAACTAAGACAGATTCCTTATGTCATTCATAAAGCTCTTTCTTTTTTTTTAAACTTATTTTTAATATGTATTTTATTTATTATTTTTATTTTATGTGTTGCATGTAGGTAAGTGCACCCGTGTTGTGCAATGCTTGTGGAGGACAGAAGAGGCTGTTGGATCCCCTGGAACTGGAGTTACAGACAATTGTTAGCTGCCATGTGGGTGCTGGGATTCAAACCCAGGTCTTCTGCAAGAACAGTCAGTGTTCTTAACCGCTGAGCCATCCCTCCAGCCTCCAAAAGCTTTGTCTTTCTTTCTGTCCCATAGCATCTTTGCTTTCCCTGAATCCAGGGCAGCAATTATACCAGAGTGTACATTTTCCAAATCCTTAAAAGATGCTACTTCAAATGCCATGCCTACTGCACAGAGTTGTTATGGGGGTTAAATGAATTAGCATATATGATGCAATTATATTAGTGTTCAGCACTGACCAAGCTTATATAAGTGTTAGGTTATATTACAGTTCCATGATTTCTTTTTGTTTTATTTGCAACTAGATAACATTGCATAGATAATAGGTGCTTTTTTGTATTAAATATCTAAATATGTTTAGATGTACTCTAGTTTTATTTATTTATCTATGTATCTATTTATTTGATGGTTTATTTTTCCAGTGCTGGGGATGAAACCCAGAATGATGCATATGCTAAGCAAACACTCTACCACCAAGCTACATCCCCAGCCCCTATGCTCCAGTTTATTCAGCATCTTTCTGGACCCTGCACTGACTCAAATTTGTGTATGTGTGTGAGTGTGTATGTGTGTGTGTGTGTGTGCGTGCACGCACGCATAGCTCAGGATGAAACCTAGGGCTTCACAATGCCAGGCATGTGTTCTACCACTGAGCCATATATTCTTAGCCTTCTAAATTCTGACACAGTTCAAAGAAGATGGAGGCCAGATCAGTGAAAGAGTTCTAACTGAACTGATTCCTGGGCTTGTACACTTGTTCTAATGGCAGCACAATATGGCCATCTGACAATCATCTGTATACAAACTAAGGCAGTTCAGTACTTTGGAGAGAGGTCATTTCAGTATTTATTTGTATTAAAGTACTAAGAACAACTAACTTGCTTCTGTTGTCAAGGGCAATTTGGAAAACTCATATCTTATATGTCACATACATAGCTAGAGAACTAAGATCTTGAGTTTATCAGTTAAGAAATAGCATGAGTAAGGTGTCCATCTCAGAGTCGAAAAGACTTAGACAACATGAGGCAGTAAACTACCATAGCTTAACTAAACCCAAAGCCAATGTTTTCCTCAGCTTCTTGTAGCAGCTGGTGCCTGATGGATGCAGCACCACCCTGCTGTGGGACATCCCACATCACAACAAACCACCCTGCACCTTATAGGAAGAGAAGAATTAGGCATTTGGGAAGGAGTGGTTGGAAGGCCCTTGAGACAACAGTTTTCCATCAAACAGTGGGCGAATGATGGAAGATCTCATGTTTAACTAAGTCACTTTTGCTGATCTCTGTCAGTCAGGTCTTTAGGAGAAACATAAGAAGACTGGGAGGAAGAAATCATACAATAAGAGATGAGAAGGGAGAGGTGAAGATGGGGAAGAGATAAAAGGGAGTGGGAAGGAAACAGAAGTAAGATCCTGCATCTTCTCCCTTTACGCAAACCAGAGCCATCAAGAGATCAGGAAAACTGCGTGTGAGGCTGAGCATGTGGCTGAGTGCACACTTACCTAGCATGTATGCGGCCTTTGGTTTGATCCCCAGCACTACATAAAAGGAAAATGACTAAACTCATGTACATTCTGATGATAATTATTAATTAATCAATAAAGGTTATTAATGCTAACTTCTACCAGATACTTTTTATTAGCCTTGTACAGGGCTAGGGGATCTCCTTTACCTCATTTACTTCTCCATATACAGTCATCCCTTGGTATCCACAGGGAGTGACTGGAAGAATCCCCCAATGAGGATGCCCAAATCCATGTACACTCAAGTCTCTTATATAAAATGGTGCCATATTTGCATAGAACTTACTCATGTCTTTCTAGAAGTTTAAAACTTGCATGCCTTTCATCCCAGCATTCAGGAGACAGAGGTAGGCAGATCTCTGTGAGACAGGCCAGCCTGGTCAACATGGTGAGATGCAGGCCAGCTAGGGCTACAGGAATACCCTGTCTCAAAAAGAACAAAACAAAACAAACAAACAAACAAAAAACAACAAAAAGCACTTCTAGATTGCTTTTAATATTGAATGTAGTTTGAATATAGTGTAAATTCTTGGTGAATAGTTGATATACTGTAATATTTAGGGAATGATAAGGACCAAAAAATAATATTTTTGATCCATGGTTGGTTGAATCTGAAGGTTCAGAAACTGCAGAATGGACTATCTTATGAATCCTGGGCTTCTTTTCTCTTTATAGGAGAGGAAACTGGGGTTCTTTGTGGGAAGGAACCAGCTCTCTGGGAAATAGTAAAGGCAGGAGTTTTAACTCCATGCCCATTTACCATCAAATAACACATACACTAAGACTCTCCCCTCCTCTCCTTGTTTATACAGATGTAGCCTTGATAACCAAATTGGAATGGATCGAGCACTTTTGACCACACAGCTTTTGACATATGACTGGAGGAGAAGCAGTTAGTTCCCACCTGATATGGCTCTG